GATTGTTAATGAGATGTTATAAAAAATTCAATCTGTTCACTTTACGACTTAATTTCGTCCTTGAAAGAAGTGGATAAAAGGTCTATTTAATTTGAATATCGGCATATATTTATTTTCCACCAAAATTTATTTAAAAAGTAATACTTATGTAATTATTTTTACATTTTAAATGAAATATTTTATTAATCAAGTTAATATCAATGATCAAGTTACATTAAATATAAAAAAAATTAGTTACCTCATTGATTGACCGATATCACTCAATCAATTCACTCCTTAGTTAATTATTTAACATTGCAAAATAGGTTTCAAAATTATTATTATTTACTGTAATAAGAGCTATTATATTATTTCTGTCTGCTATGCATGTAATTATATCTCTCTGAAAAATATATCTCCATTAAATCAAACGGTCTTACAATAAACTGGAGAATTTTCTATTAACTTATAGAATAAAGATTTCAGATCTAATACTCGGTCGGCATGGTATGTTACCTCAAGAAAACGTTAATTAACGTTACAAAACTCATTGGAAAAGTGAAAAATCATGCCATTTAATGAAACTTTCGGAATTTCCTCAAATGTCCATTCTAAGAAATATATTTTATACAGGGTGTCCCGTAAGTAGAGAGACATTTTTATATTAAAAATTCTCCATTTAATTGTTTTATTGTGAGTGATTATTAATCGTCTTAATTAATAATTGAAATTATGGTCGATGACAAAACTGTAAAATATATAGAAATAGAAATAGAAAATAACTTTATTCTGGGACAAAGTCCCTTTAGAATAACAAAATAGAACATAATTAAAATACTACATCTGGCCAAAATAAAACAATAATAAAAAAGAGAAAGTAAAGAAAATATTAATCAAACAGCTATAAAAAAAAAAATCTATATACAAAACACTTAAAACTATGATAAAACACTTAAGACTATGTACAGTAGGAAAAATTATAATTATACTCTTTTGAAAAATAAAATAATAAAATGTACATTGAGTTCTTCTTTAAAATGAGGTGTGTTTTCTGCTAACAAAGTAAAGACAAACCTGACAATATAAAATATCAGTGTATTTAAATAATGATTAATATGTAGACTCATCATTGTCAAATGCTAGCTATAGGTACAGATTTAATTATATACGAATAAAAAATAATAAAAAACAATAAAAAACAAAAAAACAATAGATGTGGTCAGTGGCATTAAGAGCAGGAAGATATTGTAATATCCCTAGTGAAGATCACAGTATAGAATAGTACTATCGTATGATGATGACTAGAAATGTATAATATCGAAAGTTTAGCAAGTATCTGACTGTTTTTGTGATAGGAATTGGAATAGGAGGGATTTGAATGTGGATATGGAGGGGAATGTCGAATTTTGATAGGTAGAGAATTCCAGAAATTGACAGTGCGAGCTATAAAGGAATTTTGAAATGAGGCAGATCTGTGAGAAGGGATGTAGAGGTCAGAAGGTCGAGATCTTGTTGAAAGGGAATGGACTGAGGACTTGAATTGGAGAAGGTTGTAGGCGTAAGAAGGACGATGGCTGTTGATGATTTGATAGAGGACCATACCAAGGAAATATTGTATATACGTAATGTAGTTAACCACATCAACGAAATAATTGTCTTATTTCTTCGTTATTAATGAATGCTCAGAGAGTATTTTATGTAGATTCCTTCGCGAATTAAAATTTTTATTTGAGTGTTATTTCAGTTCAAGGGTTCATATAAATAGTTGTCGTTTTATTTATTTTTTTTATAACCCTCCAAAGTAATTTAAATCTTAAAAGTTTGCGAATAAAATAAAGAAACAGCAGAAGTTAAATAAACTGTGCAGAAAAAAAAATGTTTTATGCTCTGGTCTGAGAAAATAATAAGGTTTGGAAGACCAAGAGTTACTCCGGCGTGATGTGTCAATCCCCTCGCGCAGTATCTCCGTTTTATTATCTTTGCTACGGCTCCATTCATCCCTATTGGATCGTTCTGGGGTTATTGAATCTTCTCTATTACGCTTCGAGCATCCATGTCTTCGGCTACAGAAATCCTCAAGCCGCTATATATGGTATATGGTTGTCCTGTGCGATCTTCCAAATTATTTCTGGAAAGTTAGGAAACTATGTCTGTTCACATCACATATGTTTGTTTCTAAGCTTTTGAAGAGCGATGTATTTCAATGGGGACTATTACATTATAATTTATCGATTTTTTTTTTAATATGCTATGAATACTGAGACATGACAATCTCCTTTTCGCCAAATTTAAAGAAATGTCTACTTATTGTATAATCTTTAGTTGTTTCTCTATTATTTGTATATAATGTATGAATGAAAACTTTTAGCCTTAATAATTATTGCCCTCCAAAAGTGGCAGATTGTATCATTATTCAATAAAAAAAAAGAAAAATAAATTTTATAAGAATCTGTATTTAAAACAAAAAAAAATATTACTGTGATGGAAGCATTATTTTTTGTTATATTTGCCAAAAGGAAAAAAATGGATCTCTTGTGTCTGTGGTTTTGTATAAAACTTTATTAATAGGTTTTATTAATTTTTTCAGCACATTCCTTGACTAGATTATTTTGAGGCCGTAGTGGCCGAGCCTTATTAAAAGCGTTGCCTGCTTTATCATTCTCGTGTAGCGGGGCTTGTTCTAACTCTGGAATAATACTCCGTTCTCTTCCCTGGACCGGGAAAAAACACGTATAGCCTAAAAAGCGAGGAAAGGGATAAAAGGAAAAAAAAAAGCTTGTTAGCACTTTGGAGAATCGGGATTCTTTTTGCATTCTATTTTATATAATAATTTTATTCTATAGTTGTAATTTATGTTTATGTTATACTTCTATGTTTTTAATTTATTTTCTGCATTTATAATTTTTGTTTTGTTTTTTATTTATTTGTAATCAAATAATAAAAATAACTTTAAAATACAAATGAGTTAATGATAGGTACCTGCGCTGTGTGTTTTGTAGAACTTGATAGGAAGCTGCAATGGTACTGCATGTGATACAAATAAGCCGGTGATAGTGTAGTGGCTTTCAGGATAAACGCCTTGCGTGACAACGTGACCGAGTTGTGACCGAGCGTGTTTCGTGTTAGGTCATGTTTCTATTGCACCTGTTTTCCTTAACTTATTCTCACAGTCATAATGCAAAGGGAACCTTTAATTATCAAGATGGCCTTGGAAAGAATGATTTTTAAATTAATGATTTATTTTGTAAAAAAAGTAAAATTGTATTCGATTTTTTTTTCCGTATTTAAAATTTGTTAAGTTATTGTAGTACCCAATTAATGTCTTAAAATATTGGTCGATGTCATTCTTTTGTCGATTTTCATTATAAATTTATCTTCTCTGAAATTGAATCACATCTTTTTTCTTTTTTTTTTTTGCACAATCTTTCCTGTTCGATTTGTTGATCTGATTACTTTAATATTATATTTCAATTTGTAATGAAATTCATACAGTGGCTTCTTCACGGTCGGCTTTCATGACACGTCCTCTTTCGCGTTTCCATTTCCCAGAGGCTATTTAATTCAAATAGTTCATTACATTAGCTTGCTAACTTTTGAAACATTATTATTCAGGTTTCATGATCATTCCGTTGTGTTTCATCTTGTTTAATTAAGATTTGAAATCCAATTAAAACTTTTATTTCCACCCTTGAAGTGTTATATATAGATCATTTTCATACATAGAAGGGTTTTATCATCTACTTGCTTAATATCATCAAGTTCCAGTGACACGTTTTTGTTCTTCATCAGTTCCTTCTATTTTTTGACCACAAATAGTAAATCTTAAAGAATGCTTAGAATGTGCAATGGTTTCAATATTGAATGTTTCAACAATAAATATATGCGATTAGTAGATATACTATAATATGTATTAGCACTATTATTAAAAGTGTGGAAGTACCCGGTGTCCAACATATAACTTTCACTTACCGCTCAACTTTGAATAGAAATTATTTTCTTGCCATGTTGGACTATTGTAAAATTTCTGGATTGCATTTTTAACTGAGCTAAAGCTAAAGTATTGCAGCTAACAAATCATAAATACTATTAAAATAACAACAGTTTTATTGATTATATCACTTTTTGATTATGGATTGTACGATTCGTTGATAATGGATTGTACGATCCTTTGACTATGGATTGTACGACTATTAGTTATTAAACTGTTATTTTTTATCGCAAAGTTTACTAAAACAGAATAGAGAGATTTGCATTGTCTGTCATAAGACAGGTGAAAATTGTAACACTGATCCTTTGGATTCTGTTGGAATATCGCGAAAATTTATCAAATTACTCACTAATTGAATTTTCTAAAAGTTTACATAATGATTTTTCGGAATAAACGGACGATAGATACCTACTTATTTAAATATAATGCCAGATCTAGAGTTATTAAACTACAGTAAATATATTTAAGGTTATAAACGTGTCCATGAAATATTTTTATATTTCACTTCTTCTTTCACACAAGTACAATGAAATAGTATCTTAGTGGAAGATATGATATTGTTGAGATTTCACTAAGGGAAAGTTCATCAAATTATTCACTAATTTAATTTTCTAAAAATTTAGATAACATTTTTTCGGAATAAACGCTGATACTTAATTATTTAAATATAATATCAGATCTATAATCACTAAACTACAGTAAATGCATTTAAGGTTATGAACATATGCTTTATACATACATGAAATGATTTTATATTTTACTTTTACTGTAGAAAACTGTGGTCGAATAGTTTCTCATCACTGCTTCTATAACTTCATCATACCAGCGCGAAGCAATGGACACTAAATCATCACCGACACCGAGAATACTAACCATCTCGTTGACTGAAGTACCACTTGTTGAAAGCTTTTATACTTGTACCTCAATATTCAACAACATTGTTGATTAATGCACCAATAAAAAAAATAGTAAAATATAGTTGTAATTAAATCTAATAATTATTTTGATGTATGTAAATTTATTTATGTTCTACCTTCCTATTTTGGAGATAGTCTGGCTCACAGAGGACAACTCCTTGAATTCTGTCCACTGCTTTGTTGGAAATAATAACGTCCCTTGTCCCGAGGTAGAGCGTGAGTTTGTTGTTTGGGGACGACTTCTTGTAGACTCTGCAACATAAAACAGAAGCGTTAAAGTACTATTGTATTGATGAAAAGATATTCCTACTGTTATATGAATTAAAGGGAGCGGACCAAAACATGTATGCATGTTGTGCAAAACATGCATTGCCTGGAACAACCCATAATCCCCTCTCTCCTGGACCGAGAAAAACCCCGTATAGCCTAATATGTGATGAAAGGGAGAAAAAAATGTTATATTAATTGAAATTAATTATATTGATTTATTATTATTTAAAATCTGGGAATAAAACCAGCAGAAAACACAATTGAGGAAAACAGGCTACGCTGGTTTGGCCATGTCAAAAGAATGCAGGAGGGAAGAATGGCCAAAACTATATATGAAGTAAATGTGGAAGGAAGAATGCCGAGAGGAAGGCCCAGGAAGACCTGGGAAGGTTCAGTCAGGGAGGATTTCGATAGGAGAGGAATGAATTGGAATAGACGCAGTCAGCTGGTGCGGGAACGAGATAAATGGATCAGGCTCTATAAACAGGATCCTCTACACTGATCTAGCGGTAGAAGAGGAATTGATTAAGAAGAAGAAGAAAATCTGTTTTAGTAATAATTTAATTAAAGTGTCGCAGGACTTTGATGAGTGAGCTCAACATCTCATGAACACACTATGCCTAGAATTCCGAGAATGTCCAAATGTATTCGAAATTAGACGAACTTGCCAGAACCGTTTAGTAAAGCCGGCTTCAACTGAAAAAGACTCGTTACGGATTTTTCATCCCTTTGAGTGAGCGGCTTTCAAAAGCAGCCATGTAATTAAAGCTAATTAAGGCTCTGATTTTTACTGTAACGGAAAGTGCTATCAATGGGTAGTTTCTCAAGCGTTTTCATGTGATTGTATTATTACTGTGTGCACATTTACTGGATGTATTTTTAAATTCATACAGTTTCAAATCTCTTGAATAAATAAAAAAACAAATGTAACGGACCAGTTGGAAGTTTGCGGAAGTTGTAAATCGGGATCTCAATAAAGAGAAGTTATATCCGTAAATACTTTGTCAATACTGGGATTCTCGTAACTTCATTATAGCATTTATATATTTTATAGTATGATCGTGAGATCTAATGTACAAGTGTCACTCCACTTTGACGATTCGGCCTAGATCCATGTTCACGGTAAAATGAGTTACTGAGAATAACCGAAGATTGACTGTATTAACGGCATAACCTCCCTTTATGTAGATTGCGATTTACGACTTTGGCAAACTCCATACTTGTTCTTTCCAGTTAAAACGGGGCAGTAATTAGCTTCAATTACATCTCTGTTTTCGACTTACGCTCGCTTCGCGCGCTCAAAAGGGATAAACAAACCCCAACTGGCGCTTTTAAGTTATCAGTACACAGTTCGGTCACTTCCTTCTAATTTCAGATACACTCGGAAATCCATTTATGGTCTGATCATGAGATATTGTAGCACCTATCTAAGTTGTGCTACACTTGTACAGTAGAACTTTTGTTTTTTAGTATGGAAAAATCTCGTGGTATGTGGTATGCTAAAAAAAAACAACACCATTCCTTGTATCGCTCTGTTTTTGTAAATAATAAACTGAGGAAATTGTTGGTTACAATGTTGATTATACTTAACACTGTTATAATTCTATGATTTTTAATAAAAAATATATGTAATTCATTTATTCGTCGCTTCTTATGGGTTCTTGGTGTAGATTAGACTTTTGCATAAAAATAACAGAGTTATATAATTTTATTTTTACGAAATATAAAGACATGAATGAGGAGTGATTAATAATTCACCATTTTTTCTGTTACCAAGAAGGTGTGAAGGATTCAGTATTTTCCAAATCGGACGCCAGTTTGTTTAGAACTCTGCTGGATTGTATTTGAGTGGAACTGTTAAGGAGAAGAAAGAGTAGCCGTTTTCGCCGAAACTATTAAATGTGTAATCATAACTTAAATGGAGTTATTTAGTACATTTATCTAAAACAAGAACTGCTTTAAAAGATTGAACTGTTCCAAAACTAAATCCAAACACCTTCATAGAGTTGAGGAGTACTGTTCTCACAAATTGAGATATTTGTGTCCTCATATTAAATGTCTTTATGCTTTGAGTGATGATATAATTACTATTTAAAAAAACTCATTTCATTTTTTATTAGGAACGTGTGATTTGTGCGAAACATTATATTTTAGTACACAATTTTTTTTTTTTTTTTAGAAAATTGCGTAACTAATTATGCAAATCATCAGGTACAAAAATAAATTATATGAGTGAAAAATAGAAGTCTAGGAAAAGCGGACAAGCACTTTGTTAAGAGTTATAAAGGAAAGCTAATTCTCTTTATTATCTCAGAGTTATTTTATATTTATACTCGCCTTCAAAGAAATACGTTATAATCCTTAATCCCCTCCTGACTTCAGCTCATCAAAAGCTCATCTAACTCCGGCGGTATTGATCGAGTCTTCCAAGTAATTGTTAGATTCGCAACAAAGAATGCCATCATCAGGACGGTAGACTATACCATAGACCTAAAAGCTTTCATAGGATGGCAGCTCACGTTTTTAAAAAGACAAATCATGTTTATCCTTCGTTAAGACACAATAAAAATCAATAATAGTTATTTCGCACAATTTACAACAGTTCTCGTTAAACTGAGAAATATATTACTGTGAGTGCAACAGAGATGGGCAAATGCTATTCTGGGTACCGAATAGTACTGTTAGTACTCTTAAGTAGTTTAATCAAATTGAATGCCTACTTGAGTTAATCGTTTGACATCAACTGAAGTAGTAATTAAATTCTTGGGTACTCAAAAACGGTCCCTATTTGTGTAAAATACTTGGTACTCAGTATTCAGAGTAGCATTTTCCCATCTGTGGGTTGCAGTAATAGATTTAATTCGAGCCTTGATGATTGTAATTTCCAGAACAGTTTTACGATACCCCAGGCAGTGGCGTAAATAACGCCAGTACAACCTTTGCCAGACACGAGGGCGCAGTGCATGAAAAGATTCAATGGATAACATTTCCAAGGAAGTTTTTCTGAAGGGAGAGGGGATACTAGAAAAAATATAGGCTCATTAAAACAATACAGTAAAAACGCTTGCCATAGGGTCGAGATCACTGCAACAAGTATCAAATTGGGTATTTATTTTAGGGATGATAAAATCTATAAATTTTACAAGACTTTATAACAAATATCGATAACATAATAAGCAAGTAATAAAATTATAGTGAATTATGTCTAATATGTTGTATATCGATATACTTCACTAAATATATAACTTAGGCATAACTTGTAAATAAGGAGATGGACTCTCACCGATGTATCTCTACTAAGAGCTGGAGAAGGTGATAAGATTTTATAAGGGCTAACGTTGGAAAAATTTTATAAGGGCTTGAATATTTAGATGATGTAGTTGTCATTGGAAGCAACTAAGGACTTAGAGATACTCTCTGAGACCAAGATGAGAGATGTAAAAAAAATCTGTTTTTCAAGAGAATGAAGATAAAACAAAATATACGATAATTAACCAAAAATATACCCCTATGGCAGAACTTGCGTGCTAGGGATGTCGTTTCCGAAAGTGAATAAATTGAAATTTGGTCCCATTTGCTCCAACGTCCATTTTGGAAATAGACCGAATTAGAATAGAAAATTATCTTTATTTGGGACCTGGTCCCTTAAGAATAACAATACTGTTCATACAAATCAACAAGAAGTCTGGCCAAAAGACCTATTACAATAAAGAATACCTAAAATATAAGTAATAAAATAAATATATACATAGCTCTAAGGATATATTAACGAAAGCAAATGGAGGTTCAATACTACAATATTGATGTATTACAAGAGCAAACAGAGCTTCCTTCTCTCTTTCGGACGTATTGAAATCCCAAAAAATATCAAGAAATCTAAAATTAAGGGTATTCAATCCTATGATAAAGCCAGTTCTAATATGAGATATGGTACTAATGTTAACCTGGATATTAACTAGCATTCTAGAAAAAAATATTGGAAGATTTGAGTTAAAAATCTGCACGATAAGGATCTGGGATGAGAACGCTAACGCACTGGGTAGAAGCACCAATAAATAATACTTATAAAACATGATCAATCAATATTTCATGATATGAAGGGGAGCAGGTTAAGAGGGGTGGGTTATGTTGCTCGAAGCAATCCATCAGTTTGCATCTACAGAACAATGAATGTTCTATAGTACGAAAGACCCCGCGGAACCCCATAAAGCAGATGATTAGATCGAATAAATAAATAATGCTATAGAGCTGCATGCATTCCGAGATGGAAAAGTCGTTTTAAGGAGGAATAAATCTACAAAAACAAAATATTTATATTAAAAATATTGTATTTTTGTTATTCACGTCAACTAATTAATAAATGGACTGAATTAATAAATCCTGTCTGGATAATATTCTTCAATTATATTATCTGTTAAGTGTAGTTTAGTTCTTCGGTGAGATGTTGCTGGAATGGCAAAAGAATATCCACCCATTCAGACGAAATCTAATTCTGAATCTAGAGAGAATTTCGTTTCCTCAGCTCGAATTTGAATCGGTCGTTCACCCCCAAGGCTGTCACGTTCCATCCTCTCAATTTAAGATTTCTAAAAAGGCATATTCCAAAGTTTTTATGCACGAGGATCCCTATTTTCCAGCTTGCCGCTTCCAATTATTCAGCAGAGGTTCACTTAGCAGCTAGAATTCAGTTTTCCCACAAGTTTCTTATTTATTTATACTGAATTAGAAATCATCACTATTATCGTTTATTGATTTAAATTATATTTTAAACGTATTAAACAGTTTCATTACGATCCGTTAGTGATGTACATAAGAGTTCGTTAACTAATTAAAGGTCTAACGTGTAACCTAAGGGAGGGTTTCTTAATTACAAGAGTAGCCTTTGAGTACACCACATCACACTCTTCCCTCGCCATGGAACACAATACCTTGAAAATCACCTTTTCCCTATTAATATATATTTTATGCAATATCAATGTTTGAA